ATGGACACATTGCTTGGTGTGTGTGTGTGTGTGTGTGTGTGTGTGTGTGTGTGTGTGTGTGTGTGTGTGTGTGTGTGTGTGTGTGTCTGGTCTGTCTTCTGGATCCCCAGTGAGTCGTGGTGGATGGCTGCTTATACTGAGCCAGGATCCTCTGGAGGTTTTTTCCTGTTTAAAGGGAGTTTTCCTCTCCACTGTCGCTATATGCTTGCTTAGTATGAGGATTGCTGTAAAGTCACTGACACTAGTCAGTGACTTGATGCAATTTGCTGGGTTCCTTATATAGGAAACATTTTTTTTCTGATTGGCTTAATGAACTGACCTGAATTGGAATGTTTATTATGTGAAGTGCCTTGAGATGACTCTTGTAGTGATTTGGCGCTATATAAATAAAATTGAATTGAATTGAATTGAGCAAATGGTCATTTGAAGCCATTTGCTCAGCAGTTTTCTCTCGTGTGCGACAGGCTTTAGGCTCCTTTTTAAGAAATCAAGCTGGAGTTGGCAACACTCACCCCTCCCCCACTCAGGCTGCTATTAGCTGAGAATCTCTGATATCAGGGAGCTCCAAGAAGAGCTACTGCTCCTCCAGCAGCAGGTCTCTTCCACATGAAAGGTGGTTCTATTCTAGGGGTATTCAATTCCAGGTCTGGAGGACTGAAAATAAATTATGAGAACACCAGCATGAAAAGAAGCTAGTGACTAAGTGATGGATAAACAAATTAAAATAAAATCCAACCTGAAAAGATGAGTTTTGAGCTGCCTAAATCACCTGCAACTGGGTGACTTTTAAGAAGTTCTTGCTCATTTACAAATCATCACTTTATTGATTATATTTAATTTTATTATTTACATTTTTTTCGCATAATAAAATTTGTTTCTTCCATCAGATGTTTAATTTTTGGATTGTTGTTCTAAAATTACTACAATACCACCAGAGGGCAATAGCTGTCCAACAGGCGCAGCTTCACAAAAATCAAAGTGGAGAAAGATGAAGAGAAGCCTTAGCACGGTGGCGCAGTTGTTAGCACTGTTGCCTCGCAGCACGTTGCTTTTTGAAAAAATGTCTTCAAATAGCCATTACTATAAGACAGAACTATCTTTTAATAACTAAACATTGTTGAATGTATAGAGCCAAAGTTAAGACTTGTTTACTAAGTGAAAGTTGTTAATAGCCCACTGGAGGGCATCAATTATCCTCCCTTATCATATTAAAGGTATAGCAGAGGATCTTTTCATTCCAGGTAAATCATCTGAACCATTGGTCAGCATGGAATCATTCTGGTAAACCATCCTCGTACCTGCTTGTTGCTTGGTAGTCTTCACTTCCTGTGCATGCATTTCGTCGTAACACTATTGTTGTGTTCTTTTGCAAAACTCTTATCCCTCCTTGCCTGCTGGTGATGGTTGGGAGGACCGGTGGTGCACTTGTACAGCAGTCAGTGTGCCCCAGGGCAGCTGTGGCTACATGTAGCTCATTACCACCAGTGTGTGAATGGGTGAATGACTGATGTGTTTTTTACAGTGACAGATTTTGTTACTGCAGTTACTGCATCCAGATTAACAAGATTATTGTGGAATAGTCAGTAGGAAAAAGATAAATGAAAATACAACATGGAGAAAATCTAAAGGAATCTGGTAAACAAATCCAATAGATGCTTTAAATCTGTGCACACTGCGCTACACTATGTGAAGCAGAAAAAACATGCAAACGGTGAGCAGGTTCCTTTGTGTTTGGCTCTCTCTCACTGAAGAGCCTGTTTGTACTCTCCAAGAGCTGGAAGAAGAAAAACAGACACTTTTTTCCTCCTCTCCTCTCTATCTTAAACCAAGGCTCTTTGTCTGTCCTTGGGTGGATGGCGCTTCTGCATTTTTTCTGGGAACTGGAAATTATTAAAAATGGACCTGGTCAGTTGGTCTCTCAACGAGATTGACAACATTTTTTCAATGATGAGAACGGGAGAAGGGGCTCCCGGTTGCCCCTCTGGGACAGAGCCAGCTGGGCATATCATGGACTCCTGGAAACAGTGGAACCTGATCTGCCTCTCTCAACTGTCTGTAGGGGATTTTGAAGACGCCTGGATATTCGTGGTGTTGGTGTCATGTTTCTTGCTGTTTGGCCTGAACAGTTACCTGGCTTACCGGAAAATTAATGAGCTTTCAAGGAATATTGGCTCAATCCCAGAGCTCAGGAATGGATTACACCGTGCTGTGAATGCACAAACTCATATAATTGTCGAGATGAGTCGTAAGCTTTGAACTTTGGCTGAGATTCAGGCTCTGGCAGAGAAGGTGGATTCGATCAGAGAGTTGACGGGACAGCACGGTTGGAATGGATTAATTTACACCATTATTGGATCGAGAGGGGTTGGAGACCAACAGAACTTTAAGACAGAGAGGAAATTATCTCTGTCTGGCCCCAAAAACAAGTTCTTATCTGAATCTGGTGCCCTTGAGCCTGTGAGGCTGAAGTGATTACTCCCCCTCAGAAGAAATGTGGAATGCTGCAGTCGCCATGGCAACTCGGTCTCCCTATCCCAGCCTGGGCGGGACTGTGACCTCTGAAGGTCGTGGAACCGTTTCCAGGAGTCTTTGTGCTTTCTAACCCAATTACCTCCCTCCCCTGTCCAAATGGAGGTGACGAGCGCTGCTCATTGCAGCTGCATGCACTGATGTAAGGAGAGTCCCCAACCCTACCTCCCCACCTAGTGGACACTTATGTTGTGTAATGTCTGAAGTCTGTTGCATTTCTGTCTGAGGTGAAAGCTGCCCTCCCTGTGGAGGAACTCTGAAGTGCCTTTTTTTCCTCCACCTGACTCAGTCCTCATATAAACACTCTGATCTCTATTAAGGTAGTGCGACTCGGGTTGTGAATAACCACAGTCACCAATTCTTGCCATGTGTCTGTCAATGTATGTATGTCTGATCTCAGAATTGTGTGTACTGAAACTTTAATTTCCCTCTGGGATTAATAAATTATCTTTGAATTGAATTGAATTTGAATTGAGTGTTGTAAAGTGCACTGATGTTGTGCAGTTGCAAAAGCGGGTAGATCCTTCAAGATAAGTGTTCAGTTTACCAACAAGAACCAACGGGCTTTTAGAACAGGTTCAGTAGTCTTCTGGGCAGGTTCAGACAGGCCCCAAAAGTCTGTTCTGTTTTAGAACAACCTGCTGTTAAGAGGTGTGTCCACATCTCTGTTGGGTGTTTGGTGCTGGGGTGGTTTATTGTGGATGGGTGCAGGAGCATTGTGCCTGAGTATGCTGAGAAACAAATCCTGGCTAAATATGAACTTTATGTCCCCCGTGTTTTGAAAACTGAAGCTAAATTATTTAATTATTTTACATGTTTTTGGGGGGCAACCTTAAACGAATACGTAGAGCATTTTTAAGTGGGCTACTGTGGAAAATATGAAAATGAATGTTACAGCTTCCTGTGCAGCCTCAGACTGGCTGCTACGCCTTTGCTGCAGTTTCAAAACAGCTTCAATCTCCATATATTTAATACAGTTCATGTGAACATTGTTTTATAATTCTTTACTCTGATTTATACTTTACACTGTTTGAAGATGGCAACAATCTGCTTTAGAGTTTGGTACAATCATACGTACCAACTTAAACAAAGTCTGTCCAATTGGACCCAACCAGAAAATCATTTATTATTAAAATTTACATTAAAAACACTTAAAGTGATGATGTGTATTTTCCTTGACGATAGGGGGCAGTGCATCCCTACATCTTTGCAAGAAAGCTGAATTTTTGTGTTTGAATAAGACCTTATCAATGGATGGCCATTAGGGTCAAAAATCCCTCCGTGCAATTTTCAAATGAGTACTTTGTCAGATCATTCAACCTCCAGCAAAATGACAAGAGCATCACGCTCTTGTCATTTAGTAACACACCAGATGCGGAAGAGCGGCAAAGTGCCGTGGGACGACGAGTGTTTCTAACTGGCGCCCTTGTTAACTTACGTTCTCGGTCACATCAGCTGCGAAGCACCGCGAAGGCTCACGCCGTGCAGCGATCGTTTCAGCGTGAGCTACATTTCTTCGTGAGCCATGAGTGAGCCGCGTCAGTGAGCTGCGTCAGTTCTGGCAGGAAGTCCAACTAAAGCAGAAGAGGAAGGCTGGTAAATTTAATAATAATATAAATATATATATATATTTTTTTTTTAAATAAAACACTGCGATTGATAAATGTGATATTTTGTGTATCTAAACAGACAAGAGAGATGAAAATGAACAAACACACACATAGCGGAGAAACTTAGCATTTCCATAATTTTAAATGCAGTTTTTACAGCGGAGAGTGCACAAATTTTGTGAGCAATCAATCCACTTTGTGGTCCCATCTGGTGTGTTCTGGTTGTCAGACTCCCTTTCATCACGGGGAACGAGTGAAGAGGTAAATGTATGAAACAAAGTTTATGAATGGCGAAAGTTTTGTAACTGTTTGTTACAAATCAGTAAATGTGTTTTGTCCTCACGGGCTCCCGTTGCCCAGAGATCACTCCCATGTGTTTTAGACCCATTTTTTATGGTTATATGTTACAAAACCGCCAATATTTTTCAAGAACTGGTCGTAATTTTATTCATTTTCAACAACATTTTGTTGGACATTTCCAGAGATTAATAGTAAAAACTCCACATTGTCTCTTTAACCTCTCATACAGGTCTGGGTTCAGTTATTTATAACTTGACCTTACTTGCATAAAACCATCTGAAAAGCTTAAATGAAGCAGTTTTAACAGAAGATAATTTCTTATTAACAGTAAAAAAGAAAAAGAAAAAAGAAAATCCAACAGCTGTGTGATGTGGTGATGGCACCACAAGGAGGCGCCAGTAAACAGGAGTGATTAACAAAGATCACATTTAATTGACTCTTTGCCTTCATAAAGTTTGAATTTTCTTAACTAACTTTTAGAGGTGGGAACAGATGTTTAGGTATCACGTGGGAGTGTGTCTGCGGGGATAAACAGGTTATGCAAGAGTTAAAAAAAAAAAAAAAAAAACACCGCCCATCAGGTGTGAGCAGGTCGAGTCACGGAAGTTCCCGAGCGATAACTGCGCGCAGTTGAGGATTCCTGTAATTAAACAACGTTTTACGCGTTTTCAGGACAACCCGCTACAGGTGAAGAAGTATACATGTGCGAACTAATGTTTCGGACATGGCTGCTGGCGTTTGTCGCAGGATTCCTGCTGTCGGGTGAGTTCTGCCCGTTTCCTGGTCCGCAGGTCTGCTCGAGTTTCACTCCCACTGGTTTTGTTCCGACCGACAGAACAACATAACCTCTGTTTAGAGAAAAGATCCCCAGCTCGTTTAGACTGTGACCTTTGAGTTGAAGGCAAAGGTTGAGGGTGACAGAACTCATCTATTTACCATTAACTAGAAGGCAATGGTGAAAAAATGTGAAAAACGAGAAGTCAAATCAGACCTGGGTTTAAATATTTCACTTTTAGCAGCAAGATGTATTAAAAGTGTTGCTGTTGTGGAGGAAATTTGATTACCTCAGTTTTATTCACATGTAGTGTAATTAATTAAACAGCGGTTTAGTCATGCTGAGGTATTTCACTTCTTACATCTGTTTTCCTCACATATACCTTAAGACTTTGGTTGACTTGGTGACAGCAGGACAAGATCATAGCTGCCGCAAAGCACAAATAATCATACTGTCACCACCGTGCCTTAGAGTTAATAAGTTGATCTGATGAAGTTAGGTTTACTGGTTGTGGATTTATTGGATATAATGTACAATAATGCAGACGCAATTTTACGAACCTGCATTGTTTTGTTATTCAAAAGAAGAAGAGATCATCTCTTGGCAGCCTTTACACATCAGTCACAGAAGTCCTAATTACCTTATCTAAACATGAAACTATCATCACACGAGTGTCTCATTAAGCTGATGATTAACACACAGCCAGAATAGTTCATGCTTGTAGAGATGGCTGTCTTCTGCTTATTTATTAAAACTAAAGAAGAACAACTAAAACATAGTTTATGGATCTTGCAAGAGTGCTGAAACCTTGACCTGAGCATTGAGTTCAGGTGTGATCACGTGCAGTTGTAAAAACTCAACAGTGGATATTCCTCCACTCACCACTGGTGCCGCCCTGCGTGTGCTGATCTTTCCCCTCTGTGTGTTGGGCACACACTTGTGATTTTTACTATTTGATTAAACAAATGTGTTCCAAAAGATGATGTAAAGTATAAATTAAATCAGTCTAAGAATATCTGGCAAAATGTCACATGCACATAAATTGTTTCAATGTTACAGAAATATATTTATTTCTTAACCTAATTATGCAACATAGTTTTGCTAATCTTTGTTTATTCTAATATAAGTGGCGTTTTATTTGGCTCACAATTTGTTCTCAGGATTTTCAGTAAACATCCAACAGCTCAACTCTGCTCCCTGCTGACATAAACTGGTGTCTACACATTCCTTTAAAATGTGAATACTGGAAAGTTTTTACTCACTTGGGTGTGCGTTGTATTATTATTTTTTTTTTGCCAGCTGGAGTCTCGTATCAGGAGCACTTTATCTTTAACTGCGAGCCAAACATCAGAGTATTTTTATCAACATTCTGCCCTCAGCTCAGTCAGCTGGTTTCACACAGATTCTCAGCAACAGTGAGTCAAAACTTCGTTTCAGTAAACACCTTGTGTTTTGTAGGAGCCTCAGACAGAGTAGGTAAACATTTAAAAGACCTTGATTAATTTTTTCTATAAAATTCTGTTTCTTTAATTCCATTTCTAAAATATTCTCCTTGCTGCAGAGCTGGAATGCAGCAGTATGATTAACTCAGATTGAAGTTGGTGACATAAAGCATGCAACATCTTGGGCTCAGAGGCAGAAAGTAGCCTTTAATTGTATGGAGTCATGACTAATCTGTTCTGGGGCCTGTGACAACGTTAGATAATGAAACTCTTAGAAAGTAATCAATGGCTCTTATGATTAGCTTTTTAAATTAACCCCATTCCCTTCTAACTAGTTTGGAATGGATGTAGCTGAGAATAGTCCCCATCATAAGCTTGTGAAAAACTATGGGAGATTATACATGACTTTAGTTTAAGATTTGACCAAAGCAGGTCTTAATTCCATTATTTCTCAACATAAGATGCTTCTAGTTTTAACATCTGGCATTAATTATTAGTGGGTGGACAGGATTCCTTCAAGGAATCATGGATTTTTCCTCATTTACCCTGCTATAAGGTCCTGGCCTGAACTAGGGCTGGGCAATAAATCGAAAACTTATCATTATCGAAATTTCTGACTCTTATTGTGATCATTTCTCCCATGTCAATAAATTTGATAGTAAATACTGAAAAGATGTGTGTAGGCTGGCAACATTCATGTCCCTTTAAGAAGCTGTACCACCTTGAGTCAGGTAAAAATGTGACTCAATGTAATACATGTGACAGCCCCATCTAGTGGATAATTTTTGTTTCTTCGCATACCTGTAGTTATCGTCCATTTATTGTTATCGAGGTGAAATCCTCAAAATATCGTGATATTGATTTTAGGCCATATCGCCCAGCCCTAGCCTGAACATTTATACACTCTTTATTCCAGGGGTGCGACCCGTCTGTGGAATAGATATCTACACTTCCCGTGAGCTGGAAGCCGTGAATGGAACCAACGTGAAACTGAAGTGCACCTTCAATTCCGTTAATCCTGTCTCTCAGTCTGTATCGGTGTCATGGACCTTCAGACCCCTCTCTGGAGGAGCTGATGAGTCTGTGAGTACAACCCGTGTTCTTGCCTAGGCATTTGTAATTATGCGTGGTTGCAGATCCATCTACTGGCTACTTTTTCTGACAAACAGAATTTTGTTCCTTTGCTTTAGGTGTTTTACTACCAGGGGGGTCCATTCCCCCCACCAGAGGGGCGTTTCAAAGGCCAAGTGGAGTGGTCAGGAGATGTCCTGAAAAAGGATGTCTCCATTACCTTACAGAGAGTGCCTCCGACCTTTAATGGTACCTACATCTGCCAAGTGCGAAACCCTCCCGATGTGCATGGCGTCAACGGAGAGATCTACCTCAAAATTGTCAACAAAGGTCAGACTGATGGCATGTGTGATCCTCCAGGACTCTGACTTTGTAAAATATAAATGAGTGACACTTATAAACGAGTGACACTTATAAACAGGAGTTCATTATGTTTGAGGAGACATTTGTTCCAATTGTTCCCTTTTCCCAAGGTGTTTTTCTTGTTCTTGTAATTTCCAGTGACCCTCTCCGAAATTGGGCTTCTGACAGCTGCTATCGGAGGAGCTTGCGTTGTCATCCTGGTTCTCCTGGGTATCATTGTTGCAGTGAGGCTCTGCAGGAAAAAAAGTGAACACGGCATTGAGATGCACCCAAAAGAGTTTGAGAAAGGGGACCCAACTGTGTGGTGAGGACCACAGAACCAGAGCTTATCTGATCCTCTTTCTCTTGGGACTGGGATGGAGGCTGGTTGGGCTTTTTGGGTCCATTTTCCTGGAGGCGACAAACAAAAGGCCTCTTTTTTTCTACTAGTCAGACATCTCTTAAGTTTTGTTTTGACCTGTTCCACACCTGTTTATATGAACTTTGATGAAATATTTTACTTTGATTTTTAACTGGACTTTGAAACAGTAGAGTTGGGGATGTAAATATGGACCAGTGGATCTAGGTGTGGGTCTTGAAACTTTATTACCTTAAACCTTAATTCACAGCAGCAGTGATTTCATTTCTGCAGTTACTTAGCCTTAAATGTTTGCGCCTTTTGTAATTTGTCACTCTAAAAGTTACTGCCGTGAATTATGTTTAATACTCTGATCTACCAAGGATGCATCAATGTTTTAAGGCTTTTAAGGTTCAAGCTAAGTAGCTGCACTAACAACAGATGCTTGACACTAGGTGTGACTCTAAATTCTGGTGAGGACTTTCCCAAATCTAAGAGAACGTTAGGCTGGTTTCAGTGCTCCTAAGAAGTGTGCTCCTTCTCTGGGCTTTCTTAATTCCTGACCAGAGGATTCTGGGTAACCCGTTTTCTGTTGATTTCTACTGTGGATGTCTTCTGATGTAAACCCTAGTTTGTACTTTTTTCTTACAAGCAGAGATGTCCACGGTCGGTTTGTCTCACTGTTTGTGTCGTTGTCTGTGTGAAACGATGCTCTGCTTCAGTTCACCTGCTGACATGGCTCTTCTGACAGTAGTCAAGAAGGAGAAAGCGGTCCCGAGCTCTGATGAGCCTGAGCCAAGCAGTGCAGGTGATGAAGAGGAAGAGGAGGATGCTCTTGGTGATGATGACAATTTTGGTGACGTCGATTAGATGTTTTAGTAAAATCAACTTCTTTCAAAAGGTCAAAGAATAATTTATAAGTCAGATTTCTGGTTTGTGAATTAGAAGATGCGGTTCGAACTGAACCAGGAACACTGCAAAAACGCATTTCTAAAAAAGTATAAGGACATTTTTTTTGGCATTTTCTTCTTTTTATTCTAAAACATATCTTCCCCAGCAAAATAGTATATTGCTCAAGTAAATATTCTTAAACATGATCCAAAGTTTATAGTAAAAAATCTGCCAATGCTTGGCTAGAATATAGCAAAAAAATCTAAACGTGTTCGCATTTACGAATTCAAGCCAAGCAACTCTTGCTTACCTCACTGGAATGGATTTAGGGTAATATGGTCCTCATTTTAAGTAATGCTGTTTTCTAGAGAAGATTGTTTTTTTCTTTTTTGAAAAAAAAAATAGGATAAAATGTCTAAAGAGGACTTTATACTTTTTAGAAATCAGTTTTTGCAGTGAGCAGCCTTTGAATGCAGCGCATTCCTCCCTTTAGTAAAGCCTCTTCTTGGTTTTGATAGAGCTTGACTTTCGACAGTTTATCTCTGTTCTCTTTAAACAGAGAGAAGACATGAAAGCTTATTGATGCTTCAGACAGTTTATGACTTCCTAACTTTCCTAATTGTCTCCCCAACATACAGAAATGCACTGTAAGATGTAAAATTGACCAAATAGTTTTGTTTTTTATTAATAGGTGTGTGTGTGTGTGTGTGTGTGTGTGTGTGTGTGTGTGTGGGTGTGTGTGGAACAGTTTATTTTTTAGAAAAAAATGCTGCAGCTAAAACATTTTTATGCAGCATTAATAACCTTATTCTAATATATTTTTAAGGGTTGATTGTAAGTTTTGCTCCTTAATGCCATGTATCTATTTGTGCTGCTGCCACATGAAACATTTCTTCTCTTCACGTTCCTCATCTGAAAAGAGTTCAGATGTTTTTACCACAAAAGTTTAATTTGTTTTGCAAAATGACTTTACATGCACAGAGAGATGAGAAGTGGATAGTATTTTTTTATTTCATCTTGTACTCATCCAAAAGTTCTTGTGTTTACTACATTTAGCTACTGATGGCTTTATAAGTGTGTAAATATTGTAAAAAGCATGTTCTATATTTTTAGAAACTCATAATAAACCACAGATGCTTCTGATTTATGTCCTGACGTTCATGTTCTGTGGGTGGGAACACACGGCAGCCTTGATCGAGTTGGAATGTGAGACAGAACCAGACCTTCTCGTGTGTGTGTCACACATGACATGCCACTATGCAGAGAAGCTTTAAAAGCTGATTAAGTCTGATTTTCAGTAAAAACTATTCTGGGTAAACCTTTTTAAAAATGTGTTGGAGAAAAACGAAAAACAGACACAAATGGTGCTCAGTTTTTACAGCTTCGTTTCAGGTTCCTTCAGGATAGAAAGATTAAATTTGGTCATTTTAACCCTCGCTCTGTCTTTATGGGCGACCCCACGAGGAAAGTTGACCATTGAGCAGAGTTGTTGGTTTATCCCTTGAGGTCCACGTGGCAGGGGTGAGGTGGTGCTCACTCCTCAACCTGCAACCCTGCTCACTGGTCAACTTTCCTCGCGGGGTTACACCCATTAGGACAGTGGGAGGGTTAACAGTTAGAGAGCTGCACCAGGAATGAAACTGGGGAATGACAAGCAGCAGACAACTGCTTCTGCTGAATTTCCTGCTAGTATCTGTGTGGCCACAGAATTTCCTGCTAAACCTGAAAAGCAGCAGAACAAGTTTTCAGCTTTTTATATTTGGTCGAGCCCCTGGAATACCCATTTTATTCATTTTTCTATACCATACTGCTGTAATCCAAACCTTTTAGTGAAACATTGCTCCCTCCCTTGGCTTCCACCTTATCGTGGTGGAGGGGTTTGAGTATCCCAATGATCTTAGGTTTTATGTCTCCGGTAGGGTCACCCATGGCAAACAGGTCCTAGGTGAGGGATCAGACAAAGTGCAGCCTACAGACCCCTCGTAAAGAGAAATATAAATGGAAACTGGTTTCACTCGCCCAGATGCGGGTCACTGACCAGAGGATTCTGGGTAACCCATTTTCTGGGCCCGTGTGGTCATGGAAGCAAAACCCTGGGAATGGGAGGAGTTCAGTGCGACCATGAAGCAAGACTTCCATACGACTTTGAGGAGATCTTGGTTCATCATCTGGCACTACCAACACTAGTGGTGACGGTGTGCTGCTGACCTCGACTCGGGACGTAAAAAAGTGGACAGTGTCCCAAAAAAGCCAACAGTTTTAAACCTAGGGTCCAACAGTGTTGCCAGTGTCATCACACCGAGCGAATCCATGTTGCAGATGGACTCCGTTTGCCGCTTTGACAGATTTTCAGACAGCTGTTGAGCAGTGGTTTTTGTCACTGTTGAAGATTGATGTTGAAGCTCAATGTGGATCATTCTCATCAATGGAATACCCTTTGACCCCGAGGCTCTTTTTTCCTTAAGAGAGTTCTCTTGTGGCTTGGTAAAAAGGAGCAAGCACCCCGAGCATCTCGTCAATGATTTCTAATTCTTCTGGAGTCAGTGGAGTAATATCAGTTAATGAGGACAGTGACACCCAGACTGCCTCCTTCTGTTCAGTCATTCTCTCCAGCAGGTGGTAGGTGCTGTTCCATTGTGTTGGCACCTCATTTATTCATTTATGGAATGGTGTTCCCAGCTGTTGCTGCATTTGAGGGATCTTTTCCTTGGCCATGGTGCTTGATCAAAAGTATGTTACAGTTTGCCGTGTTTTGTTGCATATTTCTGTTAGTGTTGTGATTTGATCACATGATTTTCTTACAATTAAATTCATGGAATGGTCAATACAAATGGTTGGTTGTATTTGCAGCATTCTAGTCACGTTTGCTGCTGCATTAGTGACAAAACACCTGCTACGCCCCACTCCTCCAACTAGTGACCAACTGAGGCCACGTTTTCTGCAGTGTGCTTCTGAGGAAAATGCTGTACTCCCAAGACTGATGAACAGAGTTCATGACTTTCTTTGTCCACCTAGTGGCAAGTAACAGCAAGATATGCCCCCGTATTAATGGATGTGCGCATATCAGCTGTTAAACCAACAGCAATGATGCTCTGGAGACCCTTTTATGCTTTCTCCTTTTCCTCCTGGAATAGGTGGAATAGGTGGGGAGAGCAGAATAAAGAGAGAGTGGTGAAGGCTTTGGGTAACGACAGAAAGAATGAGATCACGGATACAAGCAGTCAAAATGAGTTTTCTCCGCAGGGTGTCTGAGCTCTCCCTTAGAGATAGGGATAGAAGCTCGCTCATCCGGGAGGGGCTTGGAGTAGACCCGCTGCTCCTCCACATCGAGTCAGTTGAGGTGGCTCGGGCATCTGGTTAGGATGCCTCCTGGACGCCTTCTACTGCCCTTGTGATCTGACTCCAGATAAGCGGAAGGAAATGGATGGATGGATGGATGAACTGCTGTTTTTAAGATTATCCTTAAAAAACTGAATATTTATTGATGGCTTGTGCTAAAGAAAAATCTATGAGATGAGTTAAGATGAGTTTTTCGGACCCCTTGTAGTGTAGAATTGCATTTGGGAACCAAAACATAATCTAAGCACAGCATCTCTACTTTATCCATGGAACCATTGTTGTCAGCAAAGAGCTCTGAAGGGTTTTAATGATGTCAGAATTACATAGATGTGCTGTCATGACCCAGCTCCAGCCAATCCCTGTTTCCCCAGCAACCACAGCCAACTCACCATCATTCTCATCTAAACCACCTGTCTCACATTAACTCCTCATCAGCTCCACCTGTATCGCTCCCTGTAAGACTCCAGGATCAACACCAAGCCAGCGCCAGATTATTGAACGCTCCTGCTAGTAAATCTTCCAGCCGTTTTCATTTTGCCTGATCGTAGCGTCCTGACCTTGTTTCCATGCCTGACCCTCGCCAAGAACTCTGCCTGCCACCACAATCTTCGCCTGTCTTTGACCACGTCTCTAGCCTGCTCCTTGTACCTGCTTCGTCTCGACCTGGCTTTGACCCACGCCTGCCTTCGTCTCTGCCCTTACCTGAGTTTTACTCCGGTAACTCCTCCTATTAGCTTCAGGCTAATAAAGACTGTTAAAATGTCTTACTGTGTTTGGTGTCTTCACGGGTCCTCTAGTTCTGGCCATTACGTGAGCAGAAAATGACAGGATCTGACTGACACTATAAAATAAGATTTATTTATCAGCTGCTGCCCCTTTCCCCTCCCAGCTTCTTTGTGTTTAATTACAGAAGCAGCTCCTGAAGTTCTGGGCCCAGCTGGATCTGATCAATCCGTCCTTCCATAAACGCCTTTTATGTTAAAGCTGCTTGTGGTGACCAGTATCTTCTGTTCCCATCAAATTCCACTGAAGAGAAAGTTGATCTAATTGGGACCTTCCTGGTTTAACAAAAGAACAGAAGGGTGTGTGTGTTCAGAAAGCTGTGGGAAACATCACAGATGAGCAGCTGCAGAAATCAAGTCCCTGTCTAAACCTGAACCACAAGCCTGAGTCACAGCGTCACCTAAAGTCACGGCAACAACATAACAGCTAGTTTTACAGAGAATTACTTTTAGTTGTATTATGCACAAGTTGGCTTTGCTTATTAAACCACCACCAACAAGATCCTTTAGCCTTATTGGATTTAAAAGCATGGACGACCGATGCATATAACAAAATATCAGCATTCTGCCCTTTTCTACATTTGTGTACATGGTTCTAAGAAACAAAATAACCTAGGCAGATGGCGACATGGCGAGAACAGGTCTGTTTCATTTAGTTAACATCATATAGGATGGATGGTGGCACACCACTCTTCCTTCCAGGCCCCTCCGCTGGAGTCTCAATGCAGCAGCAGTGGGAACTCTTCCAAAACTGCAATAAGAAAAAACAAAACAGCCTTTTGCTGCAGAAAGATGGCGTGCTGCTGCAGACTGGAGCAGGGCAGCAGCGCCTGCATGTCTGTTTGACACAATCTAAATATGAGACACACTGGCCTGTGTAGATGCTGCGCTCGTGTGTTCCATATCATAACTCACTCATGTCGTGAAGATGCACCCTGAGCTTTTAAAAGCATATTAGCTCCTCTGGGAATACTGCAGCAAGATGTGTGCTTCCTGCAGCAAGGGCAGGTGTAAAATGTACATTAATGACTTAAAGTGAAACAGTCACTTTAAACTAACTTAAGTCTTTATTTCTACAGCTGAGTGATGAGAAGTGACAACTTTTTCTTGTTTATGGTCTCTGCTGGCCGTCTTATTCAGCCTGGAGAAAAAACAAGAAGGCTCTCTCCGTTTGGGGTGAAATGGTGTTAGAAGGTTCCTAAATCATTCTTTTTCTTTTGCTGTTTTCTTTCCTTATTTTGCATCAACTATCTGTTTCATGACTCAGATGAGGCGTTGTTTCTATTTCTTTACCTTTTTTATAGCTTATTTGCAACTTTTCAAACAAAAACCAGATTCAGACACAATTTTATTCTTGTCTTTAGCAAAAAGAAATGCAGACATGTTTAATCAGCTGAAGTCTTCTGTGATTTAATCTTATCTCGACTAGAAATCACTGTCAGGACTGCCCGGGTTATGATTGCATGACTCAGAAATGTGCCTATCCCATATAGTCCTGTCTATAAATATATTACAAGACTTCAGAGTTGAAAACAATTAATTTGGGCTAAAACATACATTTTGTGCAAACTTCCACATTTAAGGCATTGGCCTTTGTGGTGGAACAATGAGACACATGTCCATCTCCAGGTGCCAACTGAAGATGCCCTTTGCACCAGTCTTTGTGTGTGCCGACATGCTCTGAGCACGTTAAAGTAGCTTATTTTACTCTCTGAGGTCAGACATTTCTGATGCTTGACAATTTTCTTCATGGGAAGTTCTACATCAACTACATGAACTACTCTCTCACTCCTCAACCACACCCTGAGGTGATCTGGGATCCTTAGACATGTCTGCTGTATGTTTAAATTCATTCTCCCTTTATCCATGCACCAGCCCTGCCTCAGTTTCTGATCCCTGATCTGAAACGTCTATAGCCAGAAGCGGTTCACAAGCCCACCGACTGAAGGCTAAATCCAATGGCTGCCACATCTGAAGATGACTAATCAGATCTGAAAGTCTGAGGTAGGCACTTTCTCCATCATGTCCTGCAGTAAATAGCTCAGACACAAGGCTTTGCTCAGCTGTAGTGGACCGACAGGAAAGTACATTAACCGCATGAAAGGAGCTGTCCTTTTCTCAGCAGGGATTTATTAAATGAACAGTTTGACCTTATAGAGACAGACAATTCTTTTATTTTTTAAAGAAAAAGAGATATTCTGCACCCTGTAGTGGGAAATGTGTGGTACTGATTTTATTGCTTTACTGTAGTTCTTTGGACAAGGTGCAATTATGAGAGGAAGAATTTGTGAATGGCAGTGTGTCCTGACGAAGGCCCTGAAACTGTGCGACATCATCCTTCTCCTCCTCATCCTCCTCGTCACTGACCGGCACTGCAGAACTTTTCTCTGATTTTCACAAACACTTTCTCATAGGTGTCTGAGTCTGCAAACGCGCCCCCAGCAAGAAGAAGGGGAGGAGGTGGTTGAGGCAAAGAAAGGGAGAGGCAGAGAGGAGGAGTGAGCGAGTGGGGGTGTTGGAGGAGAGAAAGAAAATAAGAGGGATGTGGGGGCAGGTGATGGAGGAGAAACAGAGCGATGAGGAGAAGTGGCACAAAGCCAGCAGAGAGGACAGAGAAAAGTTGTTAGACATCTGGAAGGACAGTCATGGAACAGATCCATCTGACTGGAGCTCTGCTGCCGAGGAGGGACAAGAGTTTCATCCCATCTTCTGCTCCTGTCTGCCCGTCTCACTGCTCCCATCTCTAATTGTCTCTCCTCTTGGCTGGCGCTGCAACGTGGCTGTCTCTGCAGTGAAAGTGCTAGCTGGCAGAATCTCCTTGTATGAACCCTGACTCTGCGCAGTGAGTTAGCCGCTCTGCCGCTGTCCTGTCCACACTGACTCAGCTGTTCGAGCAGGGACCGCAGGACCAGGTAAGCAGGAGAAAAACTTTAACTAACTTCATGTTACGTTAAAATCAATTCATCCTGCTTCTGATTGATTTTTTTTCACTTCTGCATTTAATGGCAGAGTGTGTCTTTCCCATGATCTGCAGTGCATAAAGTTCTGTTGGAATTTATGCTTTTTAAGTGAAGTTTTACTGACAGAACTGTTCCTCCTTTTCTCTGTTTTCCTCCATTCTCTCTTTTTTATCTTAAAGTCTTTTCACATCTGTGTAACTGGAGCATTTAAGGAGGCGTTTTAGCTGACACCTAACAGAGAAACCGAGCTGTGTTGAGGAATATCCTGGACTGGATCCTGCAGCATCATTTGTTTTAAGGCTCAGTGAGCTGCCATGGAAGTTCGGTGGACTGGGGCTGAACCCCTGAGGCTGGGCTCTCCAAATGCAGCCATCAGCCTCATCTTCACTTTGATGTTTGGTAAAGTCCAATAATAATAATTATTGTTGATATTGTATTTTAATGTGCAAAAATGTCTAGTTGTTTCTATTGAATGACAATTTTTGTATTGAAAAGTATATTTTTATTAGAATTTTGAAAAACTTTGTTTGGGGAGGTGTGTGTATGTGGGGGGGGGGGGGGGGGTCTTTTTTTAGAGACTCGTTTATAAAAGTAGTAACAATGATTGCACAATTATAAATTAATTTTAATATGAGTCACTTTCTGCTCTATGAGCCTACAAAAACAAAAATCTGCAAGGTAAAGTCAATGGAAGCAATGGAAAAGCTGCGTCATGCACTTTTGCCCTGGTGTTTTACAGCATATTGTTCTGGTCCAGAGAGATTCAGAGTCAGAGTATAGGGAGGCTGAAGTGATGAAGAAACTTTTACTTACAGATCCGCGAGGAACCAGGGATGTTCAGTGGTTGGATGACAATTGCACTAGATTGTGTTGAGTCAGTTACTCATGCATACATCTCTTGAAATTCATTGCTTTGATTGAACATGTTAGTTGGAAGCACCACTGCAGCAACAATGCAGCAAATATTGATTAAAGTTTAAATAGTATTTAGTTTCTATGCTGATATTTAGCAGAATAATTAATAACATAGTCCATGCATTTTCACGAATGAACAGATGAGTTAATAACTTATTGTTGCCAGTTACATTATGTTTTCCTATTATTGTAGAACACATTTTGTTTCTTTATTTAGACAGAGGCAGGTTGTTGCCACCTGCAAACAAAAACTGCAATCTGGGCATAAAAGGCAGCTGCGGGTGTCCAAGCAGCAGAATTTCTGCTGCAGGTCAAAAATAACATTGTCATTGATGTTTTCAGTCAATCACATACTAGTGCACTTTGACACATTTCTATAGGCCTCTGTTTAATTTATGCTCACATGTGCTACAGAAAACTAGTCTATTGTTTCAAATCCACAAAGAAACCAAATGACTTTTGGGCAACAACACAGTCCGAAACAAGCCTCAGTCCTCTTTTGTTTTGCAGCTTTTTCTATTTTTTTATGGGAAACACGTTTCAGTTACTGAGCACATTTATCTGTGATTTAAATAATGGTCTACAGTTGACATATGCTGGATAGAAACTGGAGCACCACTGTTCTACTTTCTCCTGAAAACCTCCAGAACAGGTTTTTAGCAATTCTTAGGAATACATTTTCAGCATATTCTAAGTATGTCAGACTAAAGCACAGTGTTAAGGCCAAGGCAAAATGCTCTGTTTATAGTATTTTGCACCTTTTGTCAGCAGCTTTAGAACTGAAGGTGATAAAAACTAAGGATGTCAACTAAAACTGTTTAAAAACATGAAAAGAAAAAAGAAGAAAAAACTCATTGCAACACATACTATGGAAGGCCTTCAATGACAACTGCCAAAGTATATTTGCACAAAAACAGCAGTGATAGTTATTTTTCAGATTATTCAGGTGAAGATCATTCCTGGGAATGGTTCAAGCTGCTCTCTTTTGCTGTGCTTAGCAACCTCTGCCGGTCCTAGCAGTGTCATTCCTAGATGCTGCAGTGTTTACCTGATGCTGACCTTCACCATGTTGTTGGAGTAACACAATGTGCACAAAACAAGCTGCAGAATCACAGCAAGGCTGGAGACCAGCTCCCGAAACACTTATTAATGTTCTATTTGTCCTGAAACTGCTAGAAATAAAATCCTAATTTTTGCACATAAACCAGGAAGTTCAACTGAGCACCTGCTAAATTAGAAATACTAAGAACATGATAAAATGCTAACCTCAAAAAAGACAAATTCCTTTGTCCTTCAGTTTTTGCCTTTTGTGGTCGGATCTGCGATGGCAAAATGTAATCACTTCCACATTCTGATGTCTCCAGACTCTGGTGATTCTGGTGTAGAGTTACACTTTTCACGCACAGACTGCATCCTGTCTTATTGACAATAATGTCACTGCAAGGACATTGTTGTCTTGGGTTACTGAGGCCTTCAATTCTGGAATGCCAATAAGAGAAAGTGTGTATAAAATAGCAGCTCTTTAAAAACGTTTAAATCCAGAAAACAACGTTACAAAATCACCGTCCAGCATCCATCCGTCTCCTAGTTAGGAGCCCAGATTGGTTGAATCCAGTCTTTCTGCAGTATTTGTGAGGTATTGATATGTTACATGCAGTAGAAATCAGTGTCTGGAGGGCTTGGGATCACACGTGATTATGTGTTGGATTCTGACATGTGCGTAGACATGCTGATGGCTCCACGCGTGTAAAAAAAAAAGTGAAAACAAACAGTACGTCGCAGAGAAGATGCAGATTTGGGAGAAATGAAGTGTTAACATGTTAAAATCCCAAAAAGGATGCAGAACATAAAGGAATACATTAAATAAAGACATCGGGACCAGTATGTGGACAAAATCAGCATTATAAAAGGTTTGAATCAATGTGAAAGACCCAAGACTGGAGCAGCGATGACAACTTGTTGGATTGGCTATCTTGTTTGTGGTGAGTGGATGTAAATGTCTGAATGAGAGGTATGCATTTCATTTGCTGGTTTTTCTAGGAAAACTATCAAAATTATATATAAAGTTATATTTTATACGTATTAGTTTCAATATAAATATATAATGAGCCTGTTACTTTTTAAATTGTGTATATATTTGTTAAATATAAAAGCGAGTTACTACCCGCTAGCCACCGAAGCTGCAACTATTAAGCAACTAACCAACAATACGTAACTTCTTTGGATCTTCAAAAAACATTTCAAATTAGTTGAATTGCTTTTAAACTTGAAATTTGCCCCCGAAGTAGCTGCCGGCTTCTGATCCGCCATCCTTTTGAAAATACTGCGGTGTATTATGGGTAATTTTTGACCAAGGCAAGGCTACAAGACCTCCCATGTATCCTTGCTCAGCTAGCTAAACGGCTAACAAACGGAGAACACACGCCTCGGTAGAACATGAACATTGGAAGACGTCTTGGTGGCTCCCGATGACATATCTCCTAAGCAACCGGGGAGGGGCCAAGACATCAAGGCAAGGTTCCTTGGCATTGAGAAACATCCTTGGTCTCTGTGGCTTTGCCTCCTAGCAGGAAAACAGAGAAAAGTTAGCCCGTTTTCCACCATTATTCCCTGGCAATCCCTGGTTGCACCCCACAATACAGCAACAATTTACCATGGTTGCGTAAAATAATCAATCAAACAAATAGATTAAATGAAGCCGCAAGAATGAGACTGAGCGTGCTGTTGTCAGTAGTATCAAGCAACTAACTCGTAAGCTACCAACATTAAATCAAATTTGAAAATACTTCACTTACAGCATCAAACTCAAAAGATTTCTGGAGGAAACAAAACCATTTTTAGTCAAGAAGTCCAAAGGTTAACTTCTTTGCTGTGTCCTAGCTTAGTGAGCTACTTAGCCATTACCAGAAGAAGAAGAGAGGAGGGGGCATTCATAACAAACTCAAAGCGGTAGTCAAAACATTAAGCATGAAATGGAGTTATCCTAGTGGCTCCAATAAGAGAAAAAAGCGGCTTTGCTTTAAAAAAGCTTTTATCACCAAATAGTTCCCGAGCGCGGCTTGTCTGCAGCTCACCGCTCCCCCAGGGGATGGGTCAAATGCGGAGAATAAATGTCGCACACACACCTGTGTGTGTGACAACTAATGGGACTTTAACTTTTTAACTTTAATCTTCACTTCTGAAATTGATCTCGTTTTTTGATATAAACATCAAAAGGCAGCGGAAGGGAGAGAAAATGGAAAATGTTTAAAAGGAGGAAAACATAGACCAAAATGGAAAACAGAAAAAAATAATGGCTAAAGCACAGGAGCACTGACAGCAAAAAGAAAGCAGAGCAAATATTGAAAGCGCTTAAAGGGAGGGAAAGACAAAGTGGAGGACCAATAAAAAGGGAAAATAACTCATGGCAGAAGAGGGGAGAGTTTCGCAAATCCAGATAAAGGTAAGATTGTCAAAAATTTAGTGTAAGGGGGCCCATGTCTGAGTTCGCCTTGGGCCCCCAAATTGCTAAATCTGCCACTGTCCACACCAATGGTTATTACCTGGGTCAGGCGATCCACTGTGCCATAAAAAATAATTTCAATCACCATGTTTTCTTTTAGAGAAAAAGGAGCTATCTGAACCAATCTGGCCCAAAGTAAAAAGGTGACTGAGTCCGGAGTAAAGAGGACTGGCTAGTCGCAGGCGATCAAGGGGAGTGATGTAGCACTGTAGAAAAGTCTATTGGATGTTTTTCTTTCGAAACAAACAGCATAAACTCTCATGCAATATTGGTTTAAAAACAGATAATATCTACAATTATCCAAAGCATTGGTGTGACTTTTTGGATCAAGCGTTGTTTTAAAAAGTGTAAATTATCTACTCGTTTGTTACCCAACAGTCAGTGGACTTCTTCCTGTCTCTAGAGACTAGCACACTTTGAATGAGGCCGCCATCAGTGGGTTCTTATTGTAAATGATTTATTTCCTTTAACAGCTGAGGTATGCAGTGCTTAAGAGTTTTTTCAGGGTTCTTTTTCTTGAGTTTCTTTTAAAAAGGGACATGACATGTTGCTATTTGAGCTCTTTTAGCCGACTTCATGTTGTCAGTCTGGTTCTAATGAAGTGAATTCCTAAGTCTAGTAATCAGGCCTGTGTGTGGCTGATAAAAGGGAACTTTGTTTTTTAGATAACACAGTTTATTCATGATTTAACATAGATGGCATTTGCTTTTTCACAAGAGGCCAGATTGGTTAAAAATACTTTATTCCCTGGATAAATAAAACCATCCTTGTAAAACAGCATTTTGTATTTACTCGGGTTACAAGACAGCTTGATTTCATTCCCTCTTTGGTGCAAAGACTTCCTAAATTTTGAGCAAACATATTTCCTGTGTTTTATGAATGTATGCAGTCATCCATTTCCAAAAAAGCCATGGTAGAATGTTTTCTTTTAGATATTTTCAAAGCAAAAGAAGAGAAATTTTGATTTCAACATGCCTTTTTGATGGAATAGTCACTGTGTAATTAGAGAAAGATGAGAAATGGTCTCTAACATGCTGATGGACCTATCTGAACAGCTCTGTCAATGAAAGACAGGTAACGCCTTATCTTTAATATTGCTCTTCTTCCTCAGGTGTGTGGTCTGCTCAGGGTCTGGAGATGTCTGTGGGGAAGATTCCCTTTTTAGAGGCGGTGAATGGTTCCACAGTCATGCTGCCTTGCACATATGCCAGCTGTATTGGCATAAGAAACCTGTACTTCAACTGGCAATACAACGACAATGGCACCATGACAAAGGTAAAAAAAACTTGTTTGAGATATTTCTTCTCAGCCTCTGCACTGCAAAAATGTTTTTTAATCTCATTTTTAGTCATTTTATCTTATTTTTAGTCTAAAAAGAAAATAAATTATTCTCTAGAAATATAAAATTGCTTAAAACAAGGTAAATATTCTTAAATATGATCCAATTGTCCTTGTTTTGAATAAAAGAAAATCTGCCAATGAGGTGAGCAAAATTTAGAAATCCTAAAACTAGCTAAATAATCTAATTTTTATTTCATTTTAAGTTTAGTTGCTAGTTTTAAGATTTCTAGCAGATTGTTTTGCTCAAAACCAGGAAATTTGGATCATAGTTAAGAATATTTACCTCATTTTAAGTCATTTTATTTTTCTAGAGAAAATTTTATTTTATTTTCATAAAAAACAGAATTAAATGTCTAAAAATTAGGATAAAAAAACTTTCCTAGAAATCAGTTTTTGTAGTGTTGGAACTTGTGACTATTATTGATATTTAACAGATTGCTGATCCTGTCAGGTGTGTGAAGCAGAGATACCTTCGGAGGACTCCGACCCACCGGTGAAAATATTTAGAGACCGAGTGGAGTTTGTGGGAAAGAACATTAAAAACAACGTCTCCATTTTGTTGTGGAACATCACCTTTGAAGATGCAGGCCAGTACACGTGTTTTGGACGTAATCCCAAAGAGATGAACAAGAACCACAGCACCATCTTCACCCTCATCGTGGTGGACGAGTGTGAGTGCTCACAACATGAGTTTATTAACAAATAATTCATTCAAACTCAAGGTTTTTGGTTTTAAATCACATATGCTGTTTCTCACATCTTTATGTGGTTAGTTATTCTACAACTTCAGAGGTTAAAAACACTTCAATCTGCCAAAAAAGTAGGCCTCACATCACAATCACGAAAAGAAACTAGTTCAACTAAGAGACTTTAGAGAGAATTGCACTTATTGTAGTAAAATTGTTTCAGTAAAGCAGTCAAAATTCCATTAATTAATTTAAAATCAGAACTATGAAATATTAGTGAAATGATTTTTAAATTGCTCTTTTCACCTGTAGTACTTAGATCATCCACCAGATGGCAGAAAACATGTGTAGGATTTCATTCAGCCCTTTGCTACACTTGAGGGTGTTTCATTATCTGTAGCAATTTTTTCAAATATAAATAAAAGTTTTTTTCCTGTGATCTCATCTGTAGTGAGGGTGGTGGACAACACGGTGACCATCATCATTGCCTCAGCTGTGGGCGGAGCCATAGCTTTTCTGATGGGCTTCATGTTGCTTAAGAACTTCACCCTATATGTTCTTGCCAAACTTGAAGAGAAAAAGTGAGTCTTTTTTATTTCCTTGTCAGTGCAGTGGCTTGGGGTTCATTTAATAAAGATATGTGTTTCTACAGGTCCTCTAACATGACTTTCCTTTCCCCCCACTGCAGTAAAGAGTGCCTTGTAACTTCATCAGGGATTGACAACACAGAAAATGGCCTGTCAGGATCCAAAGGCGAATCAAAACCGACACCAAAAAAGAAGTGAGAGAGAGCAATCAAAACATCAGCTCTCAGATTTATATATTAGCTAATTCGTACAAGCTGGTGAGTTAGCATGTCATCTTTAGGTTAAAAGCTCAAGCTGGGGCATTTAACTTGGAAAATGTACATTTGCACATAACTGCACCACCTGAGAGGTAACTATGCAGATGACAGACAACAAATATTAGGTAAGTCAGGACACCGAACACAATATCAGAATTATGATTTATTTAGAGCATTTGACCAAAAATGAGCCTCGGGTTCTCTTTTGTTGTTTACTGTTTAGACGAGTTGGCTTTATTTCCATCAAACATCCAGTCCGACTGTAGCTTTTCTTACAAATAACACTTATTAAAATAATTATTTGACTGTTTTTCACCTGAAGTTCAAACCAAAATACTTTTCAGGCACTTAAATCAAGAAAAATGCAACGTAATAAATGCTTGGCAGAACTGTTCTACAATAAATAACAAATTCAAAACATCATTCCAGCCATTCATTCTCTACTTCTCATCGAATGCTGGATAGGGGAAGAAACAATTCATGGAAGGAAATCCAGTCATGCTTTTCCCCAGTGACACTCTTGAGCTCCTTCTAGGGAATTCTGAGGGAACTCCCGGCCAGGGTGGATATACAATCCCTCCAGTAAATTCCAGGCCTCCTTCCAGAGGGATGTCCCAGGAAAATCTCAAGAGTAAGGTAACCAGAAGGCATCTTAATGAGACGCCCAAATCACCTTCTGCTTTTTTTAAATGCAAAGAAGCAGCAACTCTGCTCCCAGCTCCCCCAGGAAGATGGGGCTCCTCATTTTATCTCTAAAGCCTAGTTTATCCTCCTCCGTCAGCTGGGCTGTGGAGGCAGGAACACATGTTGCAGGAGATGTTTTCCTTTCCCACTTCTCCGATACTTGGGCAGTTTTGCAAAGCAATTGCCCACCAGGACAACAGGGGGCGTAGCACTTTTCTGAGGGTGGTGAGGCTATCCCGCCACCATTGCAGTCATCGCTCTGGTCAACAGTAGTGTACTTACTACTGTGTCTGTATTCCAGAGACCTCTTCATGCAGTCACCACCTCCAAACCCATGTCTCCTTCAACTCCCTTCCACAAATTAGCTACAAATCTTTGTTCTCTTTTATTGAAGGGCTTTAGAAATGTTTATAACATTGGTCTTCTTCCACAAGATGTTCTTTTATCTGTTTCATGTTTGCTGCATATATCTTCAGCACTTGTTTGTTTATGTATTAATTTTTTGGGGAAATGGTGATACTGTTGACGAATTCAAAACAAGTGGTGTGCCGACTAACCTGTGCTTTCCCTGATCTCCAAAATCAGGCATATCTCTGTCCTCCTCTGTTGGTCTGCCACAGAGCGCTTGTGATGATGGATCTTGGCATTGTGTGTCTCCGCACCGCAAGTTTAAGGCTGAACCCAGCTACCCTATAGAGAACATCTTTTAGTTGCTTGTATGTGTGATCTTGTTCTTTGGTCATTATCCAGATGTGGCAGTGTGAGCGTCCTGTCACAGTGTCCCGACTGATCATGCGCCATGGCATCTTGGCCAAGGGGATGTCCCTTTGGCTGACTGGTAAACGCGCATGACTCTCACCTGGGAGTCTGGGGATCGAATCCCACCCAGGCCCTCGTTTCTCCACCTTGCCACACAAATAATGTGACCATGGAGGAGGGCTAGACAATGGATAAACTGGTAAAGCAAAAGCTTTCGGCACTGCTCCTTCCCCTTGACCTTGAACAATGCCCTCATTATTAGATGAGACCCAGATCCATTATTCCATCTCTCATTCTTTCTTATTGCCACTCACAAACAAAACACCAATGTACCTAAACTCTACCTCTTGAGGCAGAGACTCACTTCCAACCCAGAGGGGGATCCCACCTTCTCCTGTTTGAAATCCATGGACTCAGGTTGGCTACTCAGCAATGGTGATAATCTGGTCCACTGTTCCATGACTTGAACAAAAGCCACACCGCCCCCCGGATGTGACTTTTGGTTGAGACATGTGATCCCTTAATAGCTAGAACATAACCATATTTTAAAAAATTGTGGCTGTCACCCCACAGACACCATTTTCCATGCAACACTGAAGAGGTTTGTCAACCATATGATAGTCCAAAAATACCCAGATCCTTCAGGATTTCAGAGCAAATTTAATCTAACCCTGGCACCCAGCTGGGGCCCATCACATGTTAGTGACTGCTACCAATGTGACAGCTTCCAGTCCTCAGCCTGCTTCGTCATTGAGGTATATAGTAACTGAATCTAGGACAATCCTCAGTGGTCTTTCCACCACTCACAAACTTGGGTCAGCAGTGCCCAAACAAAACCATACACTGCTTTCCTTTCCTGGGTCGTTGCATAATTTGCCAAAAGCTTTTCAAGGCAAACTGAAAGTCCTTTTATGTGGCCTCTCCAAATTCCTCTCACACCTGAGATGTTGTTCCAAAGCCACTGAAGCACCAGTCGTCCTGGACAAGTGATGCATATGCACCAATAGGTTCTCTAGATACCACCAGGGCAGGCACCCATGGAGGTTTAGAACATTTGGTCTCCATGTCACCAGTCTTCCCTTGGACATGTAGAAAACTCTCCTGTAGGTGAATTTACACGATGGGTGTGAATTTAAGATATCTTTGAATATTCCTAGTTCACTCTCAATACTTGTTTGGGTTTACCAGGGTTCTCCCGTATCTTCTTCAGCCACCAGATACAACTCGTGGTGATGTGTTGACAGCTTTACCTCTCTCTCATCTGATTGTCCAAGACGCGGGGCCATAGACGAGATGAAACCATCACAAATCAATCAGTGACCTTTATCCCAATGGGAAGTAGTTCAAAGTACATCTATGAACCACCTTTGGATCAGTAATTTTTTGTTATGTTATGGACATCCCACACATTTTGCAGGAGTCCTAAAACAAGAGACAGCTCAGGATCAGATCAGGGATGCCATTTCTATTAATCACACCCTTACTGGTGAACCGAGAGGCATGATTGGATAACAGAATCCCAGATGACACCTCTTCCAGGACATTAGCCAGAGAATCCAAAAAGGCCAGGTAATCTGAACTGATGTTCTGTGCATATACAGAAACAAGCGTCTGAGCCTTCCCCCGTGCAGTTTGAAAATGCAGAAATGTGACCCTCTCATTCTCCAACTCCAACACCAAGACGCTCTGAGGACTTTTGAGGCAGAAAACCCAAAATCAGTAGGGTCGCCAAACCCCACCACCACACCCCAGATCTACAGAGAGAAGTTCAAATTATCAGAATTTAAAATTACAGTGTTTTAAACTTTTATTTATTTGAAAAGCATGTGGAAAATAACAAGAAGCTTTTAACAGTTTTTAAACAATGATCATACACAGTATTGTAGGACTTAGCTCACTACTTGTACTTCCTTTTTGCTTGACGCATCAATGCTTTGTCAGGAAGGACAGCTAAATATTGCAAACCAGGTTTAAATGCTGAGCAAATGGAAGCAACACAATAAGCTTTTAAAAAGAATGATAGACAATACCCTAAAAATCCCACCAACCCCTAGAAATAAAAAAGTAAATCAGAGGATGCAGCTATTAAAGAATCATGTGTTATAAGCATGTGCAACATGAGCCGGACCGCAGACACACTTTTAGAAATCCACATTCTCATAAATCACAGTTTCATATGTGAAGTTAAATATATGTAATGCTAATTCCATTAAGCTAACACTGGCTACGGCTTAGCAATAGTTGCTATCTTCTGTCAGACTGCCTGTTACCTAGTCAGTTTCTTCATGGATATAGATATTTTTCACTAAACACTGATGACGCTACTTTGTCTTGACCAACTGCTCTGCAGAAAATGTTGACCTAGTTGTTCAGTATGTGCATAGATTAACCCAGATAAATGCTTGAGGATTTGAAGGCATAGTTAACTTTTTTTCTCAAAAGTGGGCTTCTTTGGAGAACTCATAAAGCCTAGTTTACGCTTCTCTGAGATGTTTTCCTTTTGTACTTCTCCGCTGATGTGTCCACAGACATAAATATATATGACAGATATATATATATATATATATATATATATATATATATATATATATATATATATATATATATATATATATATATATATATATACGTAGATGCCTCATGGACTAGCACTGCCTATTGGAGCTTCTATAGTGGCCAGCCGCCAACTTAGTTGGGTCTCCATTCACCCCCTGGATGCATTAATTTCCAGTGAGAAAAGTGCTTACCCAACTAAAAACACACATTTTATCAAGCTTTTTCACAAAATCTGACACATGGTATGGCAAGATAGTTAAAATATAAATATAATTAAACAAAATACGTTAAAATATATTCAAATATAAAATCACATGAGGTAGGCTGGAAAAGTCAATAGTAAACCCACATAAATTGTTTTCAATTGTATGTCGGCTGTTGCAACCGTAGGCTGCAAAAAACCCGGCATAGTTGTCCACTCTGCATTGACTTTGAATAGTGAGGAAATCCCATCCATTATGGTGCTGTTATGCTCTCCAGCACCCAACAGAGCACCTACGTATTCATGTCTATGGATGCGTCAGTGTTGTGAAGCAATTCTCTACCAGGACAGCAGAGGGCATACCACTTTTCTGGGGTATCCTGCTATCATTGCAGTCACATTTAGATGAATTTGCTATTGTGTGTTTACATTGTGTTTATGTATTTTAGGGACTTTTTAAACACTGACAAATATGCCCTTCATTATCTTCCAGCTCTTCATGCAGTCACCACCTCTAAACCCACATTTCCTGTAATTTCTGTCCATGAATCAAAAGTCTGTTGCATGTTTGTACTCCTTCAGTCATGAATGTGTTAACGTTTATATCATCAAACTTTTTCCACGAGACATTCTTCAATCTGCTCTGAGTCTCTGTCGCTACATTATTTTGGCTTTCGCTCAACTTTTTTTGAGGGAGGACGGCGGTGCTGTTGATGAAGTAAAAGGAAGCAGTGTCCTGACCAATCACAGGCTTGCGATGTCTGTCACATTTAACTAATATGTAGAAAGTCTGGGTCTACTCCATCTGTTCTTGTGAGACTGTAGAAGAAGTCCTACAATGACTGATAATGGCGTTGCGTGTCTCCGCAACTCTGCAGATGGAGAAGTATAAACTAATGATGTGACATTCACGAATGAATCGAATCTTTTGAGCGGGTTTTCAAAGTGAACAATGAGAGCCGAGTCCCTGTAGAGAGCCGTTCATTTTGTCTTCCGGTAACAAACCTCCCTGGAAGTCGGTAAAGTGCACCTGCTCAAACCCCACCCACCGCTGTGACAGCCGTAGGAGGAACCCTAACCAACCCTGTGCGCCCTCACGGACACTGCAGGAACACGTTGCTCTTAATAGCCCCCCTCCCTCCTCCATTGTCTTCACTTCGTTCAAAGAAGCCAGTCTTTTGAACGGCTCTTTGAGGTAAATGACCGACTAATGAATAGCTCCCATGAAAGAGCCATAAATCCCATCTCTAGTGTAAACCAGGGTTAAGTTGAAAATATCTTAGATTCAGTTATGCCAGTAACATGTTACTTATTTGCACATTACTCTGAAGTGACCGCTTTTTCAAGTAACGACTAATCTAACGTGCTACTACTTTCATATCGTTAATCAAAGTTACTTGTCCAAGACACTAAGCGCTACTGTTTACTAGTTTTGCGTAATGAACAAACCAGCGTAAAGAATAGCAAAACACATGTAACCAACAACAGCATCAGAACAAGCAGCATGTTGAGCTACTAAATGACCGAATTAGCACCAACCAAAAATAGCACCATCAGAACACAGAACAAAAACTAACAACACCCAAGATAACACTGGCAAGTAAACACACCAAAATATAACAAACAACTCGAGTGGCTTCCCACAATGCACTTCGCCTGCTGCTTGTTCTTTTTCTACAGTCACTGCTTTTTTCGCAGTTACTAGTGTCACTAGTCTCTTGTTCAGTGTTCTGATGGTGCTATTTTTAGTTGGTGTTAATTTTGCACCATGAGTAAGTAATGATGTTACGTAGTGCCATTCAGCATTTCTTCAATGTATCTCACAGTATTTTGGGGTTACAGTGTGTTTGCCTGTGCTATCCTGCACATTGCATTGGCATAGCAAAACTGATTGCTGATTTTTATCTTGAGGCAAAGTGTTTAGTTATTGACAGCTGCTGAAAATAATTTATAAAGTAACTGCTAATCTAACTTAGTTACTTTGAGCATAAAGTAATCAGTAAAGTAACTAAGTTACTTTTGGAAGGAGTAACCAGTAGTCAGTAATCAAGTTACTATTTCAATGTGGTAACACTGCTTACATGTCACATTGGTCTCACTCAAACCCACTCAGGCTAGCTTTTAGTCAGTAAATATAAAGAGAAAATGTCTAACTGTCCCATGAAAATGCACTTTACTCAAGTATCTGCCTAAAATGCATTTGATTTGTTTAATAAGACAATATGTAATCTTTAAAGGGCCCTGACTTGACTAGCAGTTAGCTTATCACTCCTTGATTTTTAATATTAAAGTCACTTGGATTTCTTTCTATCTAATACACAATATTGACTGCATGAAGGTTGTCCTTGCAATCCCACTTACAAAAAATTTATAATAATAATAATAATAATAATAATAATAATAATAATAATAAATACGGTAAAAATAAAACTGCATCTTCAATGATTGTAGGGTCTGAGGCAGCAGGTTGGGTAGGGCTGCAGCTTATGTCTCCAGGAAATAAGACAAGAAGTGACTCTCTCACTTGCTGACTTTGCCAAACAGCTAAGATTCTTCTCAAGTTTCACATCAGAAGATGAATGTCTCTACATCAAACACAACAAATCTGTTAAATATTTAAGATGCATGTTGCTTTAAAAGAAATACCTCTACAGTGTGGAGTGGGTGCAGGTAACCTGCGTAGGACCTGATATAAATGTACTGTATGTAGAGTTAAATGTAGGTTTTTTAATGGGTTTCTAAAACTCACTGCTAAAAGAATCATGTGCCTCTATTTTCTTTACTAGCTTGAAGCAATATCAATAAGGGCTGTGCTTTTTCATGGATGTAGTTTTGACTTTAGAAGTGGGGGGCACACAACCGACATGAGGACTGGGGGGGGGGGGGGGGGGGGGGGGGGCTGTATCTTTACAGTATGTTCTAATGGGAAACAGGCTTCAACACAAATGGTTGTTTTCAGCTTGGTCCTAGAGCTCAACCAGTGTCTATTTAATAAAGCATAATATTGTTTTTGGATGGTAACAAATGCAGGGGTCAAAACTTGACTTTGGAGGCGGGGGGGGGGGGGGGGGGTCATGCCTGCCCCCCCCCCCAAATACGTCCACGTCTACTTCATATTTTTGTAAGTGAAAGGAGCTCATCTGTTATGAGTTCATGCTAAAGGGAGTCCACCTACTACAAACCTTAAAATATAGTGATGCTATTTTTATTTCGTTGGAATCTGTGTTTTGTCAGTAGCCAAAGATATTTAAACAATGGTTTTGAGTTTAAATGATTTCTTGTACACAATGTTTGAGGTTCCCTCCAATGCTTGGCAGCTTCTGATGTCAAACAGATGTGAGGTGTCTACTAAGGAACAGTTGCTAGTTTTTTATTTTTTTAATTTATTTTATTTAAGAGGGAAAAGGGCTAAATGTTTATTTGTAAACTATCTCTTGTCAATGAGCCCGTTACTGTCTGACTCAAACAAGCAAAAGTTCTGTTTTATGATAATTTATGAAAAAAAATTACAGATGTGCTAAGTGCAAGACATAGTTTGACCAATATGAATTTATCATACTTGTATTTTTCTGTTTTACTGGGAAATTCCACTCTTGAATAAGACAAAAGATTGTACAGTCAAGTAGGAACATTCGGATTTGTTTGTGTTGTGGAAACATGAAAACTGCAGTATTGGTATATTTATTTGTGATAATCAACATTAAATGAACAGTTTATTTCTGCAAAAGCAAGATTTTCAGCTTAAAATAATAAAAATAATAAGTTGCACTTCGTTTGAACGATTGTTACAACCAAGGGTCGTAAGTTGTTTTATTCCGGGAGATGCTTCGTATGTTCATAATATTTCTTAGTGCAGGTGCCCACATCTGATTGGTGAACCAGTGGCCTGGGGAGTGTCCTGATTGGATAATTGATGGGAGCAGACCGTTAAGAGGGATGCCAACACCACCTGCAGTTGATCCTCATTCTCTTCTCATCCCAACCTGCCACCATCCACTTAGTGGCCTGTGTTGAGTGCTGTGTTAAGACATTACTCGCCCTTGCACCCTTAAATTGTGCGTCACGGCCAGGGATGGGAGTGCGTACGGTGTCCCGATTCTCAAGTGCAGAAGTTGACCACGCCCGCATTGCACCCTTAATCTGCACTTCACCCAAGTCCGCAGCTATGCGGACCTCGGACAAGGTATTAACCACAAGTCATTGCTGCAGGAGAAAAGGCTCAAGTTCCTTTCCTGAAAATATGTATTTTCTAATGAAATTAGTTCATTTTAGGACAATTAGTTCATGCTCAAAAATATTTCAACAAAGCAGCAATAAATGTAAATTTATTCCAAATAACTGTTTGGCTGTTTGTTTAAAAGTTATTAAAGGTTTTTGAAAAAAGTATCAGCAACCAGCATCCCGGCATGCGTTGCGATCGATGACGCAAAGCTCCATGTCTCAATTCTGCAATTATTAGCACATCTGTGTACTACGCACTCGAAGCCTTAGCACACTTCCTCTAAGTGCTCATTGCTGAAGTCTGCAGGACGAGTATTGTGATTGGGCCGAAGTGTTGGAAGTGTGACTAAGTGCATGCAACTCTATGCAAACTACAGCAGAGGTGATTCCTGTGTGAGTTTCACACGCAGTTACTAACAGCATCCTGCAAAGTTACCATGGATCTATGATGACATGCAGGCTGAGTGGGGACAATCCAGATGGAAGGTTGATCTGATTGGAGCCCCTCTTCCAAGGGAACTGGTCCAAGATTGCGGCTGCATTTCCGGTTATCACGCAAGGTCTTTCCTTTGTGTCTGTGTATACACCGCCCCCTAGTG